CTCTCTCTCTCTTCCCCCCCCCCCCCCCCCCCCCCCCCCCTAAAAAAAAAAAAAAAAAAAAAAAAAAAAAAAGAAACAGTTTTGTCCTGGCCAGTGTTGCTCAATGGTTTGGCCAACCCTTGGGCCAAAGGGTCACAGATTTGATTCCCGGTCAAGGGAATGTCATACCTGGGTTGCAGTTCAATCTCCACCCTTGTTGGGGTGCATGTGGGAGGCAACCAACTGATGTGTCTCTATCAGATGTTTCTCTCTCTCCCCCTCCCTCCCTCCCACTCTCTCTGTAAAAATCAAGGTTAAAAATATCCTTGGGTGAGGATTAACAAAAAAGTAAACTGTTTCGTTAGGAGGTACAAGATTGTGTATTCCAGTGAAAATGGAATTTCCCAGAGTACCTTAGATTTGTCTGTGAGAGACTCCAGGTATGAATGGTTTCCATAGGGAACAAGTCGATACCTAAAAAGAAAATGCATACAGAGATGGACCCAGTCTCCTCCGAAAGTGATTATGGGATGTTAAAATCCAATGATTTTCAGACTTCATCCTACCTCTTTTATTATTCCCATCCCTCTCTCACCTCCCCATAGGCTCCATGTTTAAGATTTTGCTTATCAAAGTACATAGATAATTGTCTGGGGACCTTTGTGGATGAATGTATGTTTTTGTTTAGATTTAAAAACTAAAACTGAAAATAGCTTGAGGAACACTAAGGTTCTGGAGATAGATGGTGGGTTGGGGACCACTACTATGGTCACACAGCTTGAGGACTGCTTAATCAACAGAAAGAGCCCTATGGTGAGGGGAAAACCAGAAGCAGACAGTCTCCACAGACAGAAAACTCCCAGACTGTTGGGAGCAAGGGTTCCCATCATAGTGGACAGCAGTACCAGAATGGAGATACAATTATATCAAAGACATCCCACGCCCCAAGAAAGGGCTACATATCTTACCTCTGAAATTTCAGACCCATTTTATTGGCCAGGGCATGGAGCAGCAACACTGTCTGGCCCCAAGCAGCATTAATCTCATTCCATTCCACAGGAACACTGGGCAAACGACCCAGTCTGAAGTTATTGATTGTGCCAAATTGTCCACTATGCCTATAGAAGAAGGCAAAAGGGCAGGGAAAAACACAGGGAGAACTTAAAACTTAGCAACTTCTGAGACTTCCTGCTCTCACCTAAAACCTAGCATAAATCTCCCTCCTTATCTCCAGATTCATATATTCAGGCTCTTGGTACTTTAAATACAGGTCTAAACTGTGAGTCATCATCTTTCCACCTGCTGCTCAGATGCCAAAGAAGAAACCTGGGCATCATCCCTGAATGCTCTCTCAGCTCCATCCCTGAAAAAGAGCACTGAACTCTGTTGATTCTACCTCCTAAATCTCTTCGATCTGTCCACTTCTCCTCAAACTCAATGCCACCACTCTCTCTTCCTATTTAAATTCCTACTAACAAGTCACCTTACCAAAAATACTGCCCTCTTCCCTCACGTCATTTCTCAGATTGCAGGTAAAGTTATCACAAATGCAAACATAATTATATCACTTCCTGCCTCAAATGCTTCAGTGGCTCCCGCTGCCTTTTGGATAAAGTCCAAATCCCTTCATGACACCTACAGGATACTTTAGGAACTGGGAACTCTCCAGTTTCACATCCCGTCACTCTCCCCTTGACACTCTAGTCACAATAAGCTCCTTTCAGTTCTCTGAACTCACCACTCCCACTTTCCTCTGTTTCTTTGCACATGATGTTCTCTCTGACAGGAACAAACCCCCTCTTCTGCAGACTTCTACTTCACATCTCAGTTTAAACATGAGCCTCCTCTGAGGGAAACTTCCCGTGTGGCCTCCCCACATTGGGTAAAGCGCCCTTAGCGTTCCCAAAGCACCCTAGGTTAAGCATTACCATACTGTATTACAACTGCCTGTTATTTAACCATCTCTTCCACCAGATTACAAGGTAGAATGCATACTGTCTGCTGTTGCCATCCTAGTGCTTAGACTATTGTCTACAACACCGGAGATGCTCAACAGATATTAGTTAAATGGACAAAACATCAAATAAGTTAAAACATGAATAACCCTAGGGATAAGAAATCAGCTCCAGGCAGGAGCAGAATTTCACGTGTCTGGAGGGC